TCGCTCCATGCCGCGGCCGCTCGGCGCCCCGCCTCCTCCGCCGGCTCCTCCCTCTGCGGGCGGCGGCTGCCGGCGCGCCCAAGCCGGCGGCGCCCCCCGCAGACCCCCACGCGGGCCGCGGGAGCGGAGCGAAGGCTAGGAGATGGGCGCACGGGGAACGGTGGGCAGAACCGACAGGTAGGGACTGGAGAAGGGCTGGCGTGGGGGCTTCGGGCACCAGAGAAGCTGCCTGGACTCGGGAAGGGCAAGCGGGGCGCAATGGTCCAGCCTCCTCACACTCTGACCACCAACATGCGCTTGGCGCTCCAAGCTCTTGCTTCTGAGCCTGCATTCTCTCGTCCTAGAGATCTGCCCATGCTCCATCTATACCGACCACGACCTTCCGCAGAACATTTCTCTGGCTTAGACATTAAGTCTGTGGTCTAGATCTTGCTCTCGGCTCAAAAACCTGCTTAGTCAAATTCACCTGCTCTTCCAATGGCTCTCTGGGACTTGGGAATTTACCGCACTGTTACCAACACCTAACCCTAACTGTGGCCCTTCTCCTTAGGTCAGGGATTGAGTAACCAACTCAGCTCCAAACTCCCCTTGTAAGCTCCTGCAGACTCTATTTCTGGGTTCCATATGAGACTCAGCCAACAGTGGGTAACAAGGGGCTGCTGCAGCCACACAGGGTCCATAAATGCCATCTTCTCTTTTTTGGACTGCAGCCAACCTCTGCCTGAGGACCCAAACTTGCTCAGTCACATTCTGACTGGCAGACCACTATCACATCAAAACAGCCCCCTTAACCTGGATCACTGCCCACCTAAGTGCTTCTCAGCCTTGGGCTCAGCTGTCTACCTCAGATGCCCAGTCAGGACCCCCTGCTATGAGAGGGAGGCAGGACCACCCCCCACACACACACACACACACTTGGTACTCCAGTTACCTAATAAATGTAGAAGAAAAAAAAAAAAATTTGCCTTCCCACAAAGCAGGTAAGCTGGAGACCCTAGCATAGAGGGGTTCATTTCGTGCCTACTCCAAAGTGTAAACAAACAAATGAAAGCAGGAACCAGTGTCTCTATTATACAGCTCCATTCTCAAGCAGCCCTCTTGGCAAACTACAAGATCCTAGAATATGCTCTTTCAGACAACAGATCATTCAATCATTAGAAAACCCAAGGACAATAGCAAAAGCTTCATGAGAGAACTGTGATTTGGGGCAGGACAGGCAACCTTGGAGGTCCAGTAAGTGACATGGAAGTCAGGCTGCAATGGAACAGTGCAGGAAAAAAGGCCTTGCATAAGCTCCTGCTGCACCAAAAACCATTTGCCAAACATCTGGACCCAGGTAAGCTGATTCCTACTCTGAGGTTTTAGACAAGTCTCTGACCCAGCCTGGTCATCAGGATCCCAACCTGTACTATGGTCTTAACAGGCACAACCTCCCAAGTGGTGGAGGTAACTCAGTGACACATATTTGCAGCTCAGTCTAAATGACACATCGACCCATAAGGCTGTAAGAGCTAGCTGACACTATAAAAACAACATGCTGCTTATGTAACACTTTTGTCCAACAATGTCTTCCAAACACTTCCTATGTTCTATATACCTGGCTTTGGAAAAATGGCAGGAAGCAACAAAGATGGTTCCTGACCTCAAGGCACAGGGAAACAGATTGCAACCACAGTGGCTAATGGCCACAGTGCACCAGGGTCCAAGAAAATAAGCCTCCCAGGCATCCTAGAGGGCTTATCAAAGGAAACACCTTAAGAAGATGAATTTTGCCTTATTAGTGAGAAACCAGCACAGCAGTCACCCTCAGCCACCTCTACAGCCTACAGAGGCCATGAGACTCTAGTCCATGCCTCCTACTTGTAAGTTATGGGCAAGTCAAGTCCCACAAGTGTCTTGGCTTATAGGGTTGCATGGCTCAGGTGAGATGTTAAAAGTACTCTAGGTATACAGGGCTAGGACAGTGTTGGGAAGGAACATAACTCCCTAATGGGACCAGAGCTGGTTGTCACCTGTAAGTTTTGGGCCCTCAAAGAAAGGCATTTCCAACTAACTCACCGCCAGCTCAGATGCTGCAGTGAGTTTTCAAACCACATGTTGGAACACATCCTCTCTACCCAAAACTCTGTCAGCTGCCTAGTGTCCTCAGAGAAAGCCCCAGCTTCAACCAGAGATCAACATGAGTAAAACCACCCAGGCCCCCTACCTCAAGCCATCGATGCACAGGCACCACCTTTCCCAGTCTCCCAGTTTCAATTCCTTTTGGCTCTCTACTCACTCTGACCCCTCCAGGGCCTCCCAATCCCCTCCTACCTGATCTTGTTGTGACTGCCCCTGCCAGTTGAGGGGACACGGACATCATTTTCTTGTTCATTATCCCGGTCACGATCTTTTTCCTCCTGGAGCCGCTGGAGCAGTAGTTGATGAGGGAGGCTTCGGAGCGAAGGCCCAGGAGAAGCTGCTGGCTGTGTGTCACCCTTCAAGTTGATATCACTGGCTGAGCGCTGTAGGGGCCGAGGGGATGCCAAGCCACTGGAGCCTGCCAGTCGTCGCCTCTTTGCATAGCTGGGGGTTTCTCTGAAAGGTACTAGAATAGAGAGGGGCACAAGTAAGACTCTGAAAACCAATTGATCTATTAAAACCAAAATATTGATCCGGGAGATAGTTCATTCAGTAAAATGCTTGCCATTGACCTGAGGTCAATCCCCAGCATTCACATAAAAAGCCAGGCATGGTGGCATGCACTTGTAATACTAGCACTGGGGAAGTGGAGACAGGCAGATCCCTGGGGCTTGCTGGCCAGCCTAGCCTAATCAATGAGCTCCAGATCTTAATGAGAGAACTTGTCTCAAAAAACAAGTTGGACAGCTTCAAAGGAACAAAACCTAAGGTTGACTTCAGGCTTCAACTCTCTCTCTCTCTCTCTCTCTCACACACACACACACACACACACACACACACACAAATAAAAATAAATAAATCTAAAATATGTTCTAGGAACTGCTTTGGTTCCAGGTGAAACAGGTCAGTTGGCCACATAAATGTCACCACTGGGGGCCACATTCCAATCACACTGCCTCCAACCCTAGCTTTAAGGATAGATGCTTGCTCCTCAGCCAGCTAAGGCCTTGGGAATGCCCAGAACTGTTGTCAGAACTGCTCATTTTACAAGCTTCAGCTACATGTGACAAACCTCACCAGACTACTGCTGTGTTAAGAGAGTGTACTATAGGGGCTGGAAAGATGGCTCAGTGGTTAAGAGCATTGAATGCTCTTGCAGAAGACCCAGGTTCAAATTCTAGCACCCACATGGTGGCTAACAACTGTCCATAACTTGAGTTCCAGGGGATCTCATGCCCTCTTCTGATCTCCAGGAGCATTGCACAACACAGGTGCACTTACATACATGCAGGCAAACACTCATACATAGTAGATAAGACCCTACTGCTGAAGACAGGACATACTTTAGGATACAGGACTTGAAGCAATGGATCAGGAACTGACCTGGAAGCCTTCTAACCAAAGTTTGGCTATCATAATGCTAGATGATGATATGCAAACTGCCAAGGGAGAAAAATAATCAATGGTCTAATCCAGCCCTAAAGCCTAATAACCATAATGACTGGCGTGGCAAACTATCTCTATTGGTGCAGTAGTAGCGCTGTTTTCTGGGGGGGGGGGGCAATCAACAGCTATCTAACTGGACTTAAAGCCTTCTCAATGGGAGGGAACTCATGGGTGGCACTGTAAACTCAGCCAAATACACATGGCAGGAGAAGATATAGATCCTAGAAAAAACCCTATCATATCTCTAGATAAATGAAATTTCTTACTATATGCTAAATATTAATCCTTATATTTACAAACAAGCATACCATATACTACTCATCAAAGCAGCTTCTTTTTGCAACAGATGGAGGCTACTGCAGAATTGCATATCTGGTCAGACACAAAGAACATATGTCTGAGAGATGCCCAGTACTAGGTGGCACATCTACAGTTGAACCTCTACAACTAAGGCTCATAGAACATAGTGGAACGGGGTGGGGGGAGGGCTAGAGAGAAAAATTATGCACTCCTCAACTCTCACCAGTAAAGCTTCCGTATACAACGGAGTAAAATGCACACAGAAGGTCACAACTGGCCAAGTTTTAAAGAATAAGAGACTTCAGAGTATAGGACAGGACTCCTATAATGAAACCTCATCCACCTATGGCTCAGGAACCATTGAGGAAGAGGGGGCCGAAAGACTGTAAGAGCCAGGGCTGGTTCATGAACACAGGGAAGCAGAGGCTTTCAAGCCACTGGAAGTTTGCTCTTGTGAACTTGTGGTAATGGTGGCACTGAGCACAGGACCCACACCAACTCAATTAAACAAGGGCCCAAAGGGCAGGAGAGAAATAGGTGGTGGGCTGGCACTAAATTGAGAACTATTGGAGACTGACTGCTGCTGGGTGAGGGAGAGTATGTCTTACATATGATCTCTAGATGGGCTGACTAGACTCCAGTAGACGAATTTACACTGAATGACATTTGGGTACAAATGCTTGAATGGATAGGATTTAACATGTATGGTGGAATACATGAGATCCAGTGGGGAGATGGGGGAGGCATGGATGGGGGACGGGGTCTAAATTTGATTATGAACTGTTGTAAGAACTTATAAAAGCTCAATTAAAAAAAATTATATAAGCCGGGCATGGTGGCACATGCCTTTAATCTCAGCACTCGGGAGGCAGAGGCAGGCAGATCTCTGTGAGTTCAAGGCCAGTCTGGTCTATATAGCACATTCCAGGCCAGCTAGGGCTACAGGGAGTCCCTGTCTTAAAAAGACCAAAAAATAGCCAGGCATGGTGACACATGCCTTTAATCCCAGCACTTGGGAGACAGAGGCAGGTGGATTTTTGTGAGTTCGAGGCCAGCCTGGTCTACATAGTGAGTTCCAGGACAGCTGGGGCTACAGAGAGACCCTGTCTCAAAAAGACCCCCCCCCAAAAAAAAAACCGAAAAATAAAAAGAAATTTATATAAAAAATCAGTATTTTATGGGGCTGGAGAGATGGCTCAGCGGTTAAGAGCACTGACTGCTCTTGCAGAAGACCAGGGTTTGATTCCCAGCACCCACATGGTGGCTACAAACTGTCCTTAACTCCAGTTCCAGGGGAATCCGAAACCCTCTTCTAACCTCCACAGCATTGCACGACATGGGTGTACTCACATATATGCAGGCAATACACTCATACACATAAAATAAAATAAAATAATAAAATAAAATAAAAATAAACATTTTTTTAAAAAAGAACAACACTCTTTAAAAAATAAAAATAATAAAAAACAGTATACTATTGAAAATAGCCAGGAAATTGAAAAAGATAGACTATTATCAGTAAACATTCTATAGAGTGAGACAGTAACTATTTCAGGCTCTGCAAACCATAGAATCTCTATTACCATTCCTCAACTCTACCATGGTAGCATAAAAACAGCCACGAACAATATGTAAACAAATGGATGTGTCTTTGTTCCAATACAACTTAAAAAGCAACTGATGAGATAAAAGAAGTGATCCAACTACACTGTTTATAAGAGAATCACTTTAGATTCAAAAGCATATATAGGTTGCAAATTAAAAATTTTTTAATGTCTCACTTAAATAGTAACCAAAAGAGTTGAGTGGCCATATTAGTATCAGATAAAATAAGCTTTAGAAGAAAAAATGTAGACATCTGGTGAGATAGCTCAGTTAGTATAGTATCTGTCATGAAAGCATGAGGACCTCAGTTTGAATCCCAGGAACCACATAAAAAGCCAGGTGTCATAGTATGTACTTGTTATTGCAACTTGGAAGTCAGAGACAGGAAGATCCCAGGGTTGGCTGCCAGCCTAGCCTAATCGACAAGGCTTAGGCCCCAGTAAGAGACCATGTCTTAAAAAACAAGGAAGGTGAATGGCTTCCAAGGAACACCATCCAAGACTGACCTCTGGGCTACACATGCCTACATACCCACACACAAACAGACATACCAAAAAATAAATTAAAAAGTAACAAATAAGTCAGAGGAAGAGATTATACATCAGTATGAGTGTCAATTCAACAAGAAGATTAAAAATTATTATTAACATATACACACCAAGGAACAGAACACCAAAACATACGAAATAAACATCACTGATTAAAAAATAAATGGACAGTTCCACAATGATAACTGAAAACTTCAATGCTCCATTTGCACTAATGGATAGAACATCTAGAGAGATGAATGAGGACATAGGAGACTAGCCAATTAGATCTGACTGACACATCTAGGACATTCCACTCAACAGCAATACTTTTGGCACTTTTAGTAGGTAACATCTACATTTAAAAGAGTGTGAGACTAATGATGTAGTTCAGTGATAAAGAGCTTGTCTAGCACACTCCAAGTTCTGTGTCCCATCCCCAGCATTGAAAAAATTAAACATTGGGAGATCTATATGTGGTGGCACATACCTATAATCCCAGCACTGGGGCTGAGACAGGAAGATCACAAAAATTCAAGGCAGCCAGGCTACATAAAAAGATGTTGTCTCAACAACAACAAAAAAGTCAACAAGCTTTTAGCTAAACTGACTTAAAAAGGAGAAAATGGGAAAAAAAAAGCTAAAATCAGAAGTGATTTGGTGATATTATTACCAATCTTTCAGAAATAATATGAATAATCATTTGCCACCAAATTAGATAAACTAGACAAGTAGACAGGTTTTTTTTTTAATCCACAAATTTTAAAAACTGACTCAAGAAGAAATAGAAAATCTAAACAAACTTAAAACAATAATCTAATTGAGAAATCAGTCTTCCAACCAACAACCAAAAAGGGTTAGCAGAGGCCAGGTGTGACAACCCACGCCTTTAATCCCAGCACTCCGGGGGCACAGGCAGGTGGATCTTTGTGAGTTCAAGGCTATCCTGGTCTACATAGCAAGTTCCAGGCCAGCTGGGGCTACAGGGAGACCCTGTTTCAAAAAGATGCCCCCCCCCGAAAAAAAAGGGGATACTAGATGGCATTACTGTGAATTTCTACAAACATTTATTTAAAGAATTAAATCAACTTTTCTCCAACTCTTCCAAAGAAATAGAAGAAGGAATACTTTCTAACCTATTCTGTATTACTGACACCAAGGCCAAATAAAGCATTCCAAGAAGAAAGCTTCAGACTTTAGTAACCAACATAGTAATACATCAATAGAATAAAGGGGAAACCAACAGGGCTATTTGAGTTGATGCAGAAAAAGCATCTGACATAATCCAACATCCTTTCACTATAAAACATTCAGAAAACTATTAAGAGAAGGAAAACTTCTTAATGTGATAAGGGATCTTTATTTGTACAGCTACCATCACACTCAATAGTGAAAGGCTGAAAGGCTTGCCTTTAACATGAGAAGCAAGGCAAAGATGCCTCCATTCATTACTACTATTCAACATAGTACAAGAGTTCAAACCAGAGCATTTAACCAAGAAAAACAAATGAAATGCATTCAAAGTAGAAAGAAACAAGCAAACCCACTTCTACTTGCAGATGGCATGATTGCACATATAGAAAATCTC